CATGAATAGTTTCATGCTCATGTTATAGGATTGTTCATTTGTTATCAAACCTATTTGGCAAAGAAAAAACGTATATGACCATAATTCTTGTGATAGATTAAGGGGTCGTATTATAGCAAGATCATTGCCTGAGCATACCAATCCAATAGTTATGAAAAATAAAAATAAACTTTGAGAATCTCAATCTCACACAAACAAAAATTAAATCAGATATAATTAAAAAACATAATGTTGTTTCATTTTTCATGCATGTAGATTTCAGTTAGTGTTATATAATTGTTAAGTGATATTTGACCATAAATTATGATGTGAAATTATTTTGAAGATTATCATGAGATTAATTATTATATGCCACCTAAATTATTTAAAAAAGTATTATGATATTGCTTATTATATGTTAGCTCCAGGTGCTATAATGTATTTAGTTATAATATAACTATTATATGTTATCAAGATTTGAATACACCTGATTATAAGTTGACTATAGAATTTAAAAATAATCTAAAAAACTTTGTGTGTAAACACATTTAATTTGTTTTTTATATTTATCTAGTTTAACTTGCATTTTTATTTTTGGAGTAATAAATTTTATTTTATGGTATAGAAAATCCTATTTTTAAAATCATCTATATTTTTTCGATGGTTCTACCAACTTATATTAGTATTATTTGGGCTTTATAGCTTTATTATCATGTGTTCATATGTTTCTTTGCTTTTTTCAATCGAACATTGCTAAATGGTTTCTCTCGTATGCATGAGACGTTGAACACATGATATTATCTATATATGCAAAATATATAGACCAACTTATATTATCGATAGAACATTGAAAATGTGTATTAATGGCATAAAATATATGCAAAATCTAAAAATAAATCAGTGGAGACAGAGCTGAAGCTGGAGCCGTCTCCGCCAATTTCAATCCATGCTGGTGCTGCCATCTCTATTGTCACATGACTTTTCATGCCAGCCTCAATTGTCGGTATGCCCATGATTTGGTTAGAATCTGTTGCTGAATTTTAGTACCCGTTGATCTATTTTTATCATTATCAATGCAATACTCACGCTTTGACGAATTGATTTTGAGTTCTCCGTCATTGCTAGGCAATCATTTTTTATTTTTTTTTGAAAATGCATGTTTCGCTGGTAATCCATTTCCCAAACGGCCAGTTTACCAGGGATTTCCATTCCACTGGTATCTTTGTAGATAACGAAAATCACAGTTGCACTTTAATTACTACGGTAAGATATACAGAATTCCCAAGCAGTCCCTCAGTCTTTAAGTTGAAATTGGATCTCCATTACTAAAATCATAACCCCCCCCCCCCCAATGTGATCCCTATGCATAGCAATGAAATTAACCATATAAGTTGGCACAGTTCAAAATGGACATACACTCATACAGCTTCCATTATCTGCATTAATGGGACAAATTGTCTGCATCAAGGAATCCTGATCGAGTGAGGGTCTAGTGGGGTGCACACCACATGGCTTGAGTTGTAGGCTTGTCACCTTAACCCCTTTTAATTAATTAAAAGAACAGATAAAATTTCAAGATTAAACAAATTACATCAATTAAGTGTAACTTTTAGCGTACAGCTACGTGACCTCGAGCCCTCCATGTCTTACAGGTTGCAATCCTATGCTCAGTTCACTGATGAGGCCTGGAAGGTCACTAAGCAGGCGCACGAAACAGCACAAACGAGGTGAAACCACCATAGCAAGCTGTGCAGAAAAACTATCACGGTGAAGACGTTTTCCTCATACAACTCATTCCTAGGCCGGCCTCTTTTTTTTCAACTTATACTCTTGTCGCTTTGGCATCACTCGGTATGAGAATGTGAATGTACTGATGATCATGTTGAGAGGGAGTGGATAGTGGATATATATAGATATATGCGTCCACAGGTGTACCATCGAAGGATGCGTAGCTTAACTGGTTTGGTTACCTGTGGTTGAACAAGTCCACCCATGTTCAAATCCAAAATTTAACATGGGTACTCGTATTTACGGTTAATTATGTCCATCATTGCATAATTTGTACTTGCTAGATTCCTAACAATAATACGTACCCAAACCATGGGTACTTGCTTACGTGGTGCTTAGGTTGCATCTACTCAGCAAAACATGTTAAAAAAAAACTAGGACCCACTTAGGGGTGGATAGCGAGCCAGCTCGGCTCGGCTCGGTCTAGCTCGTTAGGATAACGAACTGGCTCGGCTCGGCTCGGTTCATTATCCTAACGAGCTAGAAACCAAGCTCGGCTCGGCTCGTTTGAAAGCTTGAGCTGGCTCGTTCGGCTTGCGAGCCAAACCAACAACCCAGCTCCATGGCAGACTCGCAGTAAGCAGCGGCGTGCATGGCGAGATGGCGGGTGGCGGCGGCGCAGAGAGTGGCGGGCGGTGGCGGCAGAGAGTGCTTGGTGCGGTGGGCGGTGGTGCTCCCGCGGCGGCGGCGCCGATGGCCATGGGGTTGGCGGCGTTGAGTTCCTTCGGTGGACGGTGACTGAGGAGTGGCCGGATGCGGCGGCGGAGGCCGGTAGGTGGCTGGTGGCGGCGGTGGCGGCTGGCGGCTGGCGGCGGAGCGTGGCGGCAGCGCTTGGCGGTGGTGGCTGGCGGGTGACGGTTGGTGGCGGCGCTTGGCGGTGGCGGTTGGCGGGTGGTGGCTGGTGGCGGGGAGGATGAGAACGAGAGAAGGGGATTGATCGGAATTGGCCACACCAGATCGGGATCGGGATCAGTCACTAGTGTTTTTTGCTGCCGAGTTGGGCTGTTGGGCCTCCATTCTCTGCCAAAATCCAATTCCAAAGGCCCACAGCTCATGTGCCCTGGCTCATTAAGGCTTGCGAGCGGCTCGCGATCCAGCTTGAGCTGGCTCGTTATCTCTCAGCTCGTTAGGAAAATCAAACGAGCCGAGTCAAGCTTGTCACGAGCCGAGCGAGCTAACGAGCCACAAGCTTCCTGTCCACCCCTAGACCCACTTGTCACCCACCTCTCTCATTTCCTCCCCTAGATCCCCGAGCTGTCCCTTTTCTCTCCCTCTCTCGCATGCTCGGATCGAAGATCGCTCTTGTGGCAAATGAAGTTGCAGTAGTGACAACGGAGGGAGAAGCCGGCGGAGAGGAGGGATGGACCCTCAAGGTGGAGCCCGTGGCGGAAGCACTTGGAGGTTGAGGTGGGGGCAAGCACTGATAGCCCAAGGTGGTGGCTGAGCACAAGTAATCCAACAGTGAGCTCGAGGTGGTGGAGCTCGTGGACACCCTTCTGTCCTCCGTCGCTGCTTGCACCACCCCCAAGGTTCACCTCTCCTCGGCCTTGGCCTCCACCTCACCTCTTCTGCCTTCCAAAGGACCACCGTTGCCTTGTGCTCCTCTCCTCCCCGGGAGCTACTGCCGCCGCTAGAGGGTGGTTGTGCCGTCAATCTATGAAGGAGGCTTGGGCTCACTGATGAAGGTGGGATCAAGCTAGAGCCCCACAACTATCTACGTCTCCGGCTCGAGCTTGACCGAGATCAACCATTGACACCTTGTCCATTCTTCATCCTCTACCAGTCTGCTATACGTACGTATTAATGCATCCTCGATGCGTCACCTGGTCTAGTTCAAGTCCAGCATGGCCTCCCGGGTGGATTTCGGTTGTGCTGGCTATGGCACGTCTATTCTCCATCCTCCACCCTCTCGCACCGCTCAGAGCTTGAATTCCATTTGGGATATGAGGTGGTGGTGGAGTCCTAGGTTAACGTGCACCGGAGGTGGGAATGGAGATGTGATGAAATACATAGGTGGAGTCAAAATGAGGAGGCAACGAGCATGCCCGTGGAAAAGGTGGCAATGGGTGCTGAGCTCACTGACCTAGTGCAAAGTTCTAGCTTGAGTGAGGATCCAATCCGATCCGCTCCGAATCAGTCCGAAGTGAGGATATGAAAAGGGTTTGTAGATATCCGACGGATATGGATTCGGTTGTGAATATGTAGCCGGATGTGGTATTGGTAATATCCGGTAGATGTGGATTATCCGATAGACTGTTTTGTAGATAATCCGGTTTTTATTTGACTATGCGACCACTCTATTGGCACTACTTAACATCAGCTAGCAAATTGTGACTTATTAGTTCTAGTATTTTATTTGTCTATACAATTGGACATTATTTATGGACCTGCAATAGGGCTATGTGTCATATGATATTATGATATGTGATGTCCTGTGTGAATTAAGTGCTTCTTTTGGACAATAAACATGATAATCAGTTAATGTGATATTGTGATTTGTGCTGTCATTTGTCCCATGTTGTAGATGTGTCATGTGATTTTATTATTAAGGGCTTGTGAAATATTATATCATTATTGTCTTGATGCATGTTGAATTGATGACTGAATGTTATATTGGTTTAATATACATGCCAAATCTAATGATTTGAATCTGTTTCCCAGCCAAGTCCGCACCGGCTTCACACCCTTTCCGACATGCAGAACAATCCATTTCGCATCCGCACCCGCTCCGAATCTGCTTTAATAATATGGTTTAGGATATAGTATGATAACTATCCATCCAAATTCTATCCATTTCGATGAAACAGAGAGGAGAGGAGGAAGAAGTGGCATTGACTGCCGCACAAACGAAACCACTTCGATACTGTGAAAACCACCTGTTTCTTCGTTGAGAGGGGTTGAATACCCTGTTTTGGAGTTGAAGGGTGTTAGCAGAGAGATACAATAATTGAGGAGGGTAAAATGTACCTATTCCTATTCCCATGTAAAATGCTGCATTGTCACTACCATGCCTCCTCATGCCACCACCCATGTTATAAAGAAAAACCTTTAATTATAAAACTTTTCAAGATTATTTTTACAATGATAAACTAAAGGACTCTTTCGGACTAAATCCTGCGCACACTTGTTGGTTTGGCAACTCCACATCTCAGAGGGAATTTCATGAGGTACCAAGAGGTACCGAAATTTCCAAAGTGAATTTCGGTAACTTCTAATACATACAAGGATCCAAATTTTAGACTAGAAATAGAAAATGTGATATGCCTCTTAGGTTCTCCTCGAGGATCATAAAATCACTCATCTTACTTTGGGACATTCTTACCCCTGTCCATGCCATGTGACACCAAATCGATCCCAGTGCATACTAAGCCCAACAGCAGCATCGAGATCATCATGCCTGATTGCCTGACATCGCACCCAAGAGGTGGTCTTTCCTATTTGGAGTATTTTGGTAGGTATCTCACTGTCACATCACATATATACATTTGATTTGGGCGGCTAATTAACGTCGTTGTACTGTAGTTGTTGTTACAATACACAAGCAGGTGGACTCTCTCTGAGACACTGCACATTCTGAACAATTATCATCCCAAAAACCACTTGATTTCTTTGCACACTCTCTCGATCGATCGCTTCTTCACCTGCGCTTCCTCCTCCCCTTCGCGTAGCTCACACTGGTACGCGGGACGAAGCTCGGAATGCAGCAATGGCTCCACTGCTCGCCGTTGCCGGCGCCGCAGGAGGAGCCCGTCCGGGAGATGGCGCAGGCAGGGCCGTCGTAGCAGGTGAACGATTCTTGCCTCTCCCGGAGGAGGTCGGCGAGTCGCATTGTCGTCGCCGGCGACGGCGGCGTTGGCTGCGTCTCCTGCGGTGGTGGTGGCGGCCTCAGCGGCTCGGCCTTCAGGATGGCACCCAGTGTGGGCAGCTTGCGAGGTTCAGGTTGTATCGCATGGTTGCTGGAGTTCGTTCTGAATGATCTTGCAGGGGTGCCATCTGATGATGCACAAATCAGATGAAAATGAAATGTTATTTCATATTTGAACCAGGCTGAAATGAAGATTTGGTTGGGGGATGAAGTTGAATCAAATCAAAGACTAGATATGGATAAATATCTGAATGTTATGTTCAGGCAATGTAACACCCTGATTTCCATGCAACCATGAAAGCAACCGTTTCAGTAAATTGATTTCTGTCAAGTCAGTCGTTTTATCCAAAAACCCAAATGAAATGTCAGATTCGAGTTTTGAAGTTTGAGTATGCCTCCGTAGTAAAATTCATTTAAAAGCCCTACATACCACGACTCGCACAAACAATAAAATGCTATTGATATTTGAAACATGCAGCAGTAAATATTTGGTTGGGGTAAATCCTAGAATGGAAAAATATGTATCAGGATGAAGCTGAATCAAACCAAAGATTAGATATAGACAAAAATCTAACTGTTCTGTTTCTGAATTAACTTTTTCTTTCACACATGTAATATTTTTCGTTACCTCCATTGATACTGTAGAATTCATCCTCGCAGTCAGACTCTAACCAAGGGCAAGCTTCAAAGAAAACCTCATCTCTGCTGCTAGCTGCACAGGTCAATCAAGAAGTTAATACTCTGAAAGCTACAGAGAACTAAACAGTGACCAGCATTGAATCAGTCCAAGAACAATAATGTTCAAAACATGAGCTGCTCAACTGCCCATTGGACCTGGATTGTGTGCCACTAAGGAAGGATGTGTGCATGCTTCCTGCCCTCTCTAACTAGAATCATCAAGAGATGCAGAGAAGTGTCAGCAACTGATCACCTCTCTCTGATTATATTTTTTTTCGGTGCTTGATTTCTTCAGGGGACCATATCATTTCTGGTGTGAAAGACATGGATGGAATGATCTCTCTTAACGAACTGCGTTTACATTAATTATGTCGTGTCCGTACTTTGGTACTGAAACACTCAAATCACAGGAAAACTGATAACTGAACTTCCATCGTCAAAATCACTCAAATCACAGGAAAACTGATAGCTGAACTTCCATCGTCAAAATGGATTTTGCAAGGGATTTCCATGTTCGTGATAGCCGAAATTGATGGATTGATAGATAATCTGATTTTTGTGATAGCTATTTGAGGGTAGAAATGTATGAATTAACTACTATAAAGTTGAAAAATGTTTCAGAAAAATATTCTCTGAATTTTTTCTATATAATTTTTTTTGCACGAAACGCGAAGATTGGAAAGCGTGCAAACAAAAGTTCAAAATCCAAAATCAGAAAAAGTAGTGGATTGTCGATCAGTACTGGATCATGTTTTTGCTGAAACTAGATAATCATACTTTCTCTTAAACAGGAAGAAAATAAAGTGCTTGGCAGCTTGTGCTTCAGGTTTGCTGATCATTGGCTAGTGTGTCAACCCAGACAGATAGCACTAAACTGGGCAATTAGTTTCCAGATTTACGCATACATTGACTATCATCTTAATTCTTAATAATATATTTGGATATCATTAAAATTCAATGATACTTATCTACATATCATATGTCATTTCAGAGATCTTCCACTAAAACATTGAATTTGGCCATAACCACTTTGTAATGGAATTGACAGATGACATCGATTGAAAACGTATTGTGGTCATGGCCTTATCTTCTCTTTTGTGAAACAAAATCCAGTATATTTAAGGAAAGAAAAACATTCTACAATTGGGACATGATTATTTCAAGTCCCTCAGCATGCTCAAAGTGACACTGGGATAATTAATTACTGGAGTATCTTAGATGTAGAACTGTGATAAACTACTACTCGAGTTAATTTGCACCATCTTAGATATAGAACTGAACAAGCAAGCTGGCGGGGCTTTAACTTTATATATGTCCGAGCAACAGAAGCAAATCTGACATAAGAAACACCTGAATCAAAATACAGTGCAACCATTTGTAAGCCATTCAATCAACTTTTTGAAAATAAGATATTACCCTTTTCACAATAACAACAATACAGTATGATCGCTAACTCGAAAGCACAAGTACAGATCACTAAAGCCACCGAAACTATTGCAATAGCACAAACATATCATAAAGATTCGCCAAACAACAACGACGACGATGACGACAACAACAACTGCAATAACAAGAATGCGAAGAACTCCAAGATCAGAACAGAACAAACGTAAGAAGAACAGAAGACATTTACCATAGCCAGCTTCTCCCAGGGGCATGTTATCATCAGGTGCCACTTGCCTGTTGTTGGAACCAACAGCAACAGTCTCCACATTTGCAGCAATCTTCTCCTTGGATTGCAATGGAGTTGAAGAGCCCTTCTTGGCCTTGGAACTCTTTCCTCTCCCAATCAGCCTCATGCCTCCCCTGCAACTCCTATTCCTGGATGAATAGTAGCTACTGCTATTTTGCAAGGTCAAACCTGAACATGAGTTCAGAAATGAGATTGACAATTTGGAGGGGGAGAGAGAGAGAGAGATGATTAGTTTAAGTGAGGAGAGAATATACTATGGGGTGGTGGAGTGGACTAATGGGGTGTATATAAAGCAAAGCAGCAGAAGAGACGGATCTTGACTTGGGGAATTGTGTAAAATCAAGGGAGAGAGAGAGAGATGCAAATTCAGATAATTGGTCTCATTTTGAGTGGCAGCTTGGAGAAGAGATGGGATGGATGGATGCAGGATATTTATGGTTGGGTAGCTTGCTTGAAAGCTAATCCTGTGGAGGCCAGCGACCTTGTAAGGTGGTGCTGCAGGTCTGTAAGAACTGGTGAAGAGGACAGCTGATGAAATTCAGGTCGGGTGATGATACATTGACGATGTTGCAATTGTGTGTAGAAACTTCGTACTACCCCATCCCAAACTATAGTAACTTAACCATATATTTAGATATATGCTTGTCTATGTTTATTGCTAAAAATTATATTTTGTGACAGAACAAATAGATAGTCAGCGGACACATCTTTCATGTGATATTTATTTTGTGGTATGTTGTTATATTTTTTTTCGTATTCCTGTTTGTGTACCATCATTTCTGCAAAGGTTGCCATCAGTCCATCGACTCTGCCAAGCACACAACAAAGCATAGTACGTCCACATGTCCTACTGTGACTTTATATTAAAAGTAAAACAGTATAAGCTGCTACAGTGTACTACTTTTGTTTTACTTGTCATTTATGGCATTAACACGGTCATCCACACGTTTCTTTTGAAATCTTTTCTGTTCATATATGTATATAATCATTAAAAATATTAGCTATATGAAAGTATTTTTTTCATTAAAAATATACCAATGTTATTTACTCATATCGATTCTTAATATAACAATATTGTTTGACATATTAGTGATTTAAGGTCTTACCATTCTTTTGCTGTGAAGTAAACTGTTAAAATCATATAATCTGACTTGACTGCTCAGTAGCGTATCAAGAAGAATTAGTGGTCTGAATAAACTAGATAAAGATATAATCCCATTTACATGTATGTATGACAAAAAGTTTTAGTGAGAATTTCATAGGAGCTTCCATGATCCTATTGTCAGTAGTAGTGGAGGCTCGAGCTCCCGTCGCTCCTATGCTAGATCCACCCTGTGACTGTTTGTAGTCTAAAACTTAAAATAGAATGAAACTACTATGAGACAGTTATGTTCACTTGTCCCACTCTGAGTTTTGATGGTACAAATTTAGTTCTCCCTCTATCGCATAAAGCGTAATTTTTTTGCCATTGGTAAACAAAATAAGAGTGAGGGTAAAAGACCAAAATGTCAGCAATACCGCAGTGGTAAATAAAGGGAAATTAAGGGGTATTTAAAGGATAAAATTTGTCAATTTGTGAGCGAGAATAGGCGGTAGGAAGGTAGAAATAGACTATTTTTGTTACAAAGTAGAGGATAGCATGAAATGAATTCATCTTTCTTCAGATACTCGTACACTAATCATCTGTGACGTACTAGATGATTGTCCTTTGTATAACCATTATTGCTTTCTGCATCCAAGGGGCCTGCTGCGAGGCCTTGGCTGTGGCAGCTGCGCAGTTGCGGCTACAATTGCAGCCAGTGCAGCCGAGCACCCCTTAAACATCTCAAAATGAAAGGAGCAATACTACCAAAGTATTGTAATCTACTCAAAAACTATATAAATAATTAAAAATAAAATATATGGACAAGAAAGGGCGAACAGCATAGCAAGAATAAAAGAAAAGCGTCATGCGAAAAGTCTGCAAGATGCAACAAAGAGAGAACTGTGAAGTTCAATTAGTACTTGTATAGAAGAGAAGAGCACTGGTTACATCAAACATGGAACAAAACAGAAATTTTTGAATTAGGCAATAAGATGCAACCCTATAAATGAACTAAACAACACTAAACTTTGAGTAACAGTTCTCAGAGTCCACAGCACACTTAGCAGTGTAGTACAAGGAGTAGAATGGCAACACTGCCTTGCACAGCAACACTCTTTCATAGCTGGTTGCTTTTGCTAAGCTGAGCTCACTGCTATGAGTGGCTAGAGGGGCAGAGCTAGGACATGGCAAGCACAGACCCTGCAGCCTAGCCAACTCTGTCTCAGAGGACAATGAGTTCTTGGAGACGAAGACCTCCTTCACGGATAGGCGACTTGGCAGCAAAATTTCCACTAAATCAGCAATGTAGCCAAGTCCATCACCCAACAATGACAGCCCCCCAATATCTCTCTGAAGAACCGTACACCAGAATTTAGGATCTGGATTTTCTTTCAGAATCGCCCCGATGATCTTTGCGCCGAAGAATGATCCGTTCAGCTTCGCGGCGATCGATTTTCCTGCTGCCACCAGCCTAGGGTTCTCCTGGACATCTGTGCCGGCGAAGGCATGCGCTTTGAAGAAGAACCAGTACTCTGGGCAGGGCAAAAACTTCAGTTTGATAGGCTGCACTGTTCCAATTGTAGTGACATGCTTGTTGCTGGTTGTGACTATGATCTTGCTACCTTGTTTGCCACAACTCAGGCTTTTCAGGAGCTCCTCAAGCATGTTCTTCTTGTGTATGTCAACATCCTCGAAAACAATCAAGAACCTCTTGTTGAAGAAACTCTGCTCCAGTTCATGTAGTGGATCATCTGAATTTCCAACATCTCCGATGACATGTTTAGGCCGTAGAACAGGCTTTGGTTCACACATCTCCATCTTGTAGGTGTGTGAGAAATTGAACAGCAAGATTGTTGTGAAGTGGCTGCGCACCCTAGCATCATCACAGGCATGCTGTACTAGGGTGGTCTTCCCGACCCCGATATCGCCTAGAATCGGAAGAACACCAAGTTTTCCTCTTGGTAGATCATCCTCATGCAGCAAGAAGTTGATGATCATCTCCTTTTTGACATGTCGGCCGAACATCTGCCCCTCGATGAAGATGTTGGTAGCTAGAGGCCGATGAATCGGCTGGCAGGCCTGAAGGAGCATCATGAACTCCTTGAGATCACCACACATGCTCTGCAAGCTCTCAACCACCCTATCAATCTCATCAACACCGATGTCGTGGCGAGACAGTATGTTCCTCACGGTGAAAGCCGCGACGCGCACACGCTTTGCAGGATTGAACTTGGACAAGGAGAAAGGCTTGGGATCTACCTCATCGCGATTCTTGTCATCAAGATCAGGCTCCCCGCATCCGATCGTGTCGAGCAAGTAACGGCCTTGGTATGCGCCATCGATGAGCTCCGAGAGCCACTCGAGGGTGCCATGGTTGGTGATCTGCCTCCCTTTGGCCTCCTCAACTACGCTATGGATCTTGATCAGCATGCGGCATATCCTCTGTAACTTGACTTCAGTGCTGTGATCTCCATTGAAATTACTGACAACAAGGGATATCACTCTGCCGATCACATCGCCAACAATTGCCGAGAAGATTGCTTCTGCCATCGGTGAAAGTGTTTAGCAGATGGTGTAGGAATCTCTTTGGAAGAAGCCAACGGATGTGTGATGTGTGTGGTTGAATGTCATAACTTTTGACGAATCTAAGCTGGTGATAAAAGTCAAGATGAGAACCAATAATATTATCAGCAGCTGGCACATAACAATATTGGCCTGAAAGAGACACAAAAGACTTGGGTGCGTGACTGCATGTCATAAGTCTTGCTTTAATTCAGAGTGGTTTTACAGTCCTAAGCAATGATGATATACTCCCTCGAGTCACAAATATGTATCATTTTAGACTGTAAAAAGTCAATAAGATGTAACTTTGATGACTTCATTCTTAGCATAAATCGAAAAATTGTTGCATAAGTTTAAAATTGTAAAATTTTTGTTACTTCAAATGTGATCATTTTCATATGCACAATACCTATATTCACAGAGTGATTATATTTGAAGTTAACTTATGTTAGAAGCCTACAAAATTAGTAGGAAAAAGTTTGGTATTCTAAACGACTCTAATATAATATCATAATCACGAAAGTAATTCCAAATATAATAGAGATTTTTTTTGATACATCATGAGCTGAGTGATGACTGGGTAGCCTAGGGAAAATTGATTTTTAGAACAAACTAAAATTCCCTTGGTTTATTGAAAGATAACAGCAGAAGGATAGTAATGGATTTTTGTCAGTTAAAAGCAGAGGACTGTAAAAAGTCCAGGACTTCCACAAGACAGCTGACACACTACGCTGCCCTAATAAATTAAGTTTTTAGCAACCGAATTGACCAGGAACCTTTTTTCCTCCCTAGAAACTGATTGCGACGAACATTCAATTAGGCATCAGTATTAGATTACAATGACAAAAGCAGGCAGCTGCGTAGATTTGTTGTCATCATTTTAGTAGAAGAGACCTAAAGGACAGCAACTTGGAAGTAACTGACAGGGCCACCACTAGTATAGTACCAGTCAATTTTTTTTATTTTTTTATTTTTTTGCCTTTCCATCTACATCTTGCTTTGTATACAAGCAAACCTGTCGCTTGCGAGCATTAATGTCTTTTAACCCCTTCGTTAAGTTTTTGGGGCTGTTATTTCTTCCCTGCTGCAAATGGTAACCAAAGATGGTGACAACCGGTGGTCTGAGTCGGAGCCAGCAAGAACGGATTACCTACCCTCCTTCCCATCGTGTTGTCCCTCTCAACCAGAAGAATTGGACCTTCATGTCGTGGCTGGAGATCTGTGTTGCAACCTTTCGATCTACTAACAGGAAATACTCCAGCAAGAAGGGCAAAGTAGGGATCTTAGAACTCCCATCGTCTTCCCCTAGCTGCCATAGCCAGCACTTTGTATCTTTTTTGCTATCCGTGATACGGCTTGCCCAAGCTGAACTTGTTGGTTCCTATTACCAGGGGTGCAGCTGGAACAAAAAGGGAAGGGGTATCATTCGCTTGCTTTACTCTATTTTAGATCAAGTTTAAGCTAATATGAGTACCTGAGTTTGAAGAGTGATGCTCCGATGCAATATACTTGAAGTATTCTACTCCGAGCAGAATTAATCTGGATCGTATATTTTAAAGGACAGGTAAGTAATCTCCTAATATCCTTACGAGAGTGGTGGCCGTGACGTTCTGCGTGACGCTGGTGGCGCGCCACGGCGCGACGGCCATGGCGGCGTTCCTGATCTGCGCCCAGGTCTGGCTCGCCACGTCGCTCCTCGCCGGCCAGGTGAGCTAGCTAGCTACCTACCTACATAGCTTAGCCTACATTCCGATGATATATGCATGGCTGCTTAATTAACTTTGCTTAAATTGATCAATCAACCTCAGGCCTTGCTTGCCAGCGCGTTTGCAAAGAAGGATCACTACAAGGTGGCGGTGACCACCGCCCGCGTGCTGCAACTTGCCATCGTCCTCGGCGTCGGGCTGACGGCCTTCCTCGCCACCGGCATGTGGTTCGGCGCCGGCGTTTTCACCAGCGATGCCGCCGTCATCAGCACCATCCACAAAGGCGTTCCGGTACGATGGTCATCATAAGCAAGAACAGATTAATCTTCAGATATTAGTAAACATTTTTCTCATGAACATATCTGACGATTGTCTCCAAATCAATCAGTTCGTCGTTGGCTCGCAGACGATAAGCACGCTGGCCTTCGTCTTCGACGGCAAATGGAGGGGAATGGCATCGATTAGGATAGGATAGGGAGAGGGTGAACAGTTAGATAATGACAGTTTACGATAATACCCCTACGTGAATTATTATCGCTGGACAAATATAGCCCTCCACATTTCTTCTCCAATAAAATCGGGTGGGAGTAGAACTAGATCTCAACCCTACGATTAAATACGATCAATGGCACGGATTAATTTCTACTCCAAGTAGAAAGCACCGGAGCGAGTCTCGAGTTTGAATTGAGGGGGTACCGGTGGACATATTGTGAACATAGATGAATTGTAGCTAAAAAATTTTTCTTAACTGGTTCCTGGGCACCCTCCCCCCTCCTACCTAGCTTTGCCCCTGCCTATTACATGTGGTCAATGATGTCATTGTAACAAGATAGCTTTCGTGGTTGGATCCAATGACAACATCAAGCTGAGAGGCTTTTACTTCCTGAATGCATTGCCTCGGAGAACCTATTCCATGAGATGTAGGAAGAAAACATGTTGAGTTTGAGATGAATATGTGAATGTAGTCGATGAGCAGGACTTGTAGTTTTCATAAATGTTAGAATAGAATTATATTCGGACTCATATCATAAGCACTCCGATAAATAAAGAGGCAACACCTAACGTAAGTGCATAGGGACTATAGCATAGGCGAAGGAATGACTTCCTGGCAGCCTAACTGGTGAAATGTCCTAGTTGGGGATGAGCATTGTAATCAATGCTGTAAAATCAAAGTGTGTCTGGTCCTTATTCTGAGATGAACAATTGGCATTTGATATTATTGGTTTTGATATTTGAAGATTATTAGCGAAGTGGTTTTGGAGATGATTGATTTGTAGGTGATGAACAGGAACTGCTGCTGACTGTTTGGACCGGTCAGATCGGAGCTATGCGTGCAGTCAGACCGGCCAGCCCACGGTCTGACCAGCCAACTCTGTGTCGGTTTCGGTTTCGGATTGTTTCGCTGGATATCCGTGGATAATTCATGTTTATCACTTCTAGATGGGTACTATGAATATGCAATACTGTTGTTTGCTAACAATGAGTCAGGTTGGTGAGAACTTGTGCTCGAATATGGTTTCTTGGTTGATGCATGTATAGGTGGTTTTGATGCCTCGGGTGAGTGTTGCCGGTGATGGATCGGGAGTCAACTTGGGAGAAGATGACGTCCGGACGATCAGGATATCATGCAGGATGCTTAGACTAAAGATCAATGCACGTGGTTGGTGAAGATTCCATATGGCATACGATGGAGATATTGTGTGCGTATGGGATGTGGAGTCGAATTTGAAAATAGTCCAAATTTGGTATAATTGGAGTATGTAAAGTTTATTTCTTATACGGGAAGGTTTTCTATGGGATTAGGACTTCTAGTACAAGGTTGGTTCGTGGCTTTAGGCTACCTATCTCAGGTATATAAAGAGAGGGAGGGTGTGTCCTCTTGGTATCGTTTTTGAGAGAGTTGAGTTGAGAGAAAAGTTAGGGTTTCGAGTGTAGTCGAGATTTTCGTGAAGAGTGTTGTTGTTGCACTTTGTAAACACGGAGAGAAGTAATAAAGTTTCAATCTATTTTGAGAGAGATCTTCGATTTGTGTTTGCTCGGGTTCGGCGGTCCAACCGGCGGGACACCGACGGTCAGACTGACAGCTATTGGTATTTCTTAACGACATTACTAGAAATATGAATTCCCAGCAATGGTGTGGAAATGGCCCTGGTATATTTATGGTTACAGAAGTAATCCGCAAGCGCACGGATATACTATTGTAGCATTTCACCCGGAAGTATTCCAAGGTATCGTATTTGTTTAATCCCAATGGAAGATTTATAAGAAAGAGAAATCTGCTAATAACTTATATATATTACATATATATATATATATATATATATATATATATATATATATATATATATCAAAGTCTAAACATGGGTTACTTTAATTATATGGTAGAGTGACACGAAGCAGAAGGACTTAGATTCTTTCATTTAAATAATTCTAGGCTAATGTGGAAGAAGAAATAGAAAAGTAATCATTCCTTTACTTCTAATATACACTCAACTTTAGTTTACATTTGCTAGTGTACAGTTTTATTGACCAATACCCCCTAACAGTGCCCTCCTAGGGCTTCGAGAGACCACCCCGGGTTGCCGAGTTTCTTACGACAACCTGTCATGGCCGTCCAACTGGGGCTAAATACGGAGCAGTAACCTCCCCAGAAAATTGTCTTAGGAATATATATTAACGTAGAGGAATGCCCGTACTGAGCTGTCACCATCAGCATCCCACTTCTACTGTCCCGCATCATATATGCCCAATTAATGATATATAATAATCTAAGCACCATGCTTATATTGTCAAATATTACTCTGTATCCTCTAGAATAATATAGAGCAATCATTTGCATGAACATTAAACCCACACCATTGCACCTCTCTGGTAGGCTAGTCACACAACTATATCAACACAAATACAATGTAAAACCAGTACTCAGATAAAGTAAAGTACCAAAGGTATATAAAGAAGAATATTCTATTAATTCTGGAAGTCTTACAAAATAAGAAAGAAAAACTACTAGAGTCATACCGAAATCTTCTGAAGACTCGAGGACTCCGAGAACTATCCTATTCTATTCCACTTAGCACTAGAGCACTAAACTAAACTTGAGATAGAGATCAAAGCTTCTTGCTTGAGTGTGTGATGGAATGAAGAAGTGACCCCTTTATATAGCCTCCCAATGACGGTTATGGCAGTTGAAATTGTCAGAAATGCCCCGCAATAGTCATTGGGAGTGCATCTGAAGCGTCCACGTGGAGGGACGAACTGAACGGCCACTGTCAGGGTTCGGCCGAACCTGGGCCGGCCCAGTAGACCTCCAGATTTGGTAGAGGGGTTGACAGGTAAGTCCTCATGGCGTTTATGATAGTTATGGCGGTATCTAGGATGGTTGCACCTGACATGTGGGCCCCTTTATCCTTGAGCTTGCTTAGGAGTGAGTTTTTCTTCATTTCTTCTTCATTTATGTGCTAATCTCTGCAAACAAATAATACTCTAAGTACAAGTGGAAATAAATTATTCTAAAATAAATATGCATTGCAAGCATAGCTAGTTCTCCTTTATTTTTAGTTATATTGACGATCGAAACTGGTCTATAACGATCGTCAACAAATCCGCCCAAGCTTGAAACTTTGCTTGTCCCGAGTAAATGACTCGGAAAAATAAACTTGGTTGTTGATCAGGAGTTTCTACCATGATGTATATCTCAAATGTACAAGTGCAAAGTTTGAGTACTCTCTCTCATATTAGTAAGTAGGCACGGTGGCTTACCCATAAGCCCAATCCCCGTGGAACACATGCTTCTCGTCACTGTTGACGGTCGCTATCGATCAATTTCGCCCGTCAATATTACTAAAATAAAGGAGAACTAGTTATGCTTGCAATGCGTATTTGTGTTAGAATAAGATATTTTCCACTAGCACTAGGCTTTCAAACCTTTTGTAGAGAATAAACATAAAATGGAGGAGAATCGACAATAATTTGACGATCATTCAATCGGACGTTATCGAGAATCAAACATATGGATGGATGGGCCAAGAACTCAGAAATGACATGACCAACTGAGCCAAAATTCACGAGTCTGAAGTGAGGAACAGAAAAGGAGGCCATCGACCAAATTGTGGGCCGGTTGGGCCACCCCTGGGTTCGGCCGAACCTAACCAGCCGTAGCGCCAATCGATTCAGGTTTTGACTAGACGGCTCAGATGGACTCCCTATGACGGTTGGAGGGTATTAACGACCTTTCCAACCGTCATAACTCAGCTATAAAAGGCATTCACCTCACTTCCTCCAACACACACCTCAAGCAAGAAGAATCAAGCTCTCTCTCTAGTTTACTAGTGTTCTAAAGTTAGTGGAGTAGGAATAGAATAAGAGTCTTAGTCCTAGAAGTCTTCGGAAGGATTCAGGTATGGTTCTAGTAGCTCTACTCTCTTTTGTAAGACTTGTACTTTTAATAGAATATTCTTCTTTATAATACTTTGGTATTGTATATGAATACCAACTTTATTATATATCCAAATTATATTGATTATGATGCTAGCTTATCTGGGAAATGCAATGGTGTGGGTATAATGATCGTGTATACGATTATTCTATGTCATGACGATGATATTATAGTAGTATTTGGTAAGTTAAGCGTGGTGTTTAGATTGCTGGATATTATTATTTGGGGTTATATAATGCGAATTTGTCGAGGTGGGCTGCTAATGGTGACAGCTCAGTATGAGTATTCCTCCACGTGTATATATAATCCTAAGTTACTTTCCTGCGGAGGGTACTCCTCCGTGTTTAGCCCCGGTTGGATGATTATGACGGGTTATCGTAAGAAACTCGGCAATCAGTGCTAGCTTCTCGAAGCACTAGGAGGGCGTTGGAAAGAGGGTATTAGCTAAGTAATCGTATAACTAGGATGTGTATATAATGTGTATGTATATTAGAAGTGTAGGAATAGATTCTTTCTACTCTTGTTGTGTGTCACTCTACCCTATCCATTATCTTAACCACTGCTTAGACTTTGATTATTACAAGTAAAATATAAGATATTAGTATAGTTCTCTCTATTATAATCTTTCCACGGGATTAAACAAATACGATACTCTTGGAATACTCTTGGGTGAAATGCTACAATGATATATCCATGCGCTTGCGGATGAATTATGTAACCATAATATACCATGAGTATTTCTACGTTATTGCTAGGAATTACACTTCTAGTAATGTCGTTAACAAATACCAACAGTCGCCTTGAGTGGTTGGAGACAGAACAGATCATAGAGTATCATTCTCTCATTCTTTGCTTAACTCTTATTCCAAAATTTTTCAAATGATTTTGCAAATAAAATCCAAGTTCCTCAAATGATTCTCTCAATCACTCGAAGTGTATATTTATTCCTCGCCAAGATATTGCCTTGAGCTTGCTTAGGAGTGAGTTTTACTTCATTTCTTATTCATTTATGTGCTAATCTCTGCAAACAAATAATACTCCAAGTACAAGTGGAAATATATTATTCTAAAATAAATATGCATTGCAAGCATATTGACGGTCGAAACTAGTCTATAATGACCGTCAACAACGGCATCGCACCGATTAGACCGACAGGAACGTGTCGGTCAGACCGGCGGCAGCGACAGGAGGCAGAGGCGATCGCAGGGCGGTTCGGCTGGGAGATCAACACCGGTTAGACCAGCGGCATAGGCGCGGTCAGACCGGCGGATCAACCCCGGCCAGACCGATCTACATCGGATTCTAGGGTAACTTTTAATTCCATTAAAAGTTTAGATTTTCGGCTAGTTTAGTTCTTGCTATTCGATCCTACAAATGCTTTAAGAATGTAGGTTTAAGATGAACCTCGTAACAAAAAAAACCGTATTATATTATATTTATTTATTTATAAATAAATGCATGTGCGAGATGGTGATGAGCTAAGGCAACATTTTTTTCCTATTGATTAGGGGTTAGGCAGGGCAGAGAGTGTGGGTGGGGCGTGGGATTTGGCAAGCGAAGGGGAGAAATGCGGTGGGGGAAGGGGAGGCAATCTGTCACGCCCAGAAGTTTCCCCCTTTTTCCTTGCTGTAAATATTTGTTAAATAAATCGTCTGAAGAAATTATCTTAATTAACCTAGAGCTAATTCCATAATTAATAAATGCAATTAATAATCGGAAATAGCGTGGTGGAATTGT